ACTATGCTTTCCCATGCGTTTGGTATGTTTTAATTCGCGGTCGTTTTAATCATTTGTCGTTATGTATTATAGGACGACGATTTCATTCCGAGTAAAAAATAATCTCGTAAAATTCGATTAGTGTACACGATTGCATGAGAACGCGGTATCGAATTTAAATTTATGTCATCAGTCGACTGGTACTCGAGAACATTTGTGAAATATTTAGATGTGATTACGTAGTATGGATTTTATCCAATAAGTGTCGGTTATAATCGGTTCACGGCACAGCAAGTTCTAAATATTTTTTGTATTCAATTTACATGCAAATTATTCAGTTGAAAAATACTCGTATAATAAATCATCTGGCAAAACAAAGTGTACAGATTATAACTTATCATAACCACGCATGTTTCGTTTTTCGTTCAATTATTAATGCTCTCCTATAAAATTTAAACGAAGGAAACCATGTGATTTCCTTTTCATTTCACTATATTTTAAGCTTTTGCGTAGTACTATCGAGTTTCCTAATCTACAATTTTTATAATTTAAAAAAAATTGTCGAAATAATTATTAATATTAGGTTAACCTATTAATAATATAATAATATTTATTCGTATATATATAATACAAACAATGTGAATTGTACTATATTTTTATATTTAATTTACCAGTATGTTTGAATTTTATTTTGAATTTTTTTTGTTTGACAAACATGTTTATATAATTATTTATTAATCGTCATTACTTTATACGACTTTTTGCATTTTATAGAGATTATGAGTAAAGAAAATGTATAACATTGTATTCCTTACATAAGTTTTCTTAATGGAACGCAGTATTTATTGTATGAAATCAAAAAATAAAATACAGATTGTATTTTTCTTGTGTGCATAATTTAATGTACAGATTTTTCGAAAACTTAAGCTAGAGTAGCTGACGATTCATTTGTACACTAGTGCTCAAAAACGATAATTCATACACTTTCCCATAACACCCACCCATTATATTATATTTATATTTAAAACGGTTTCTCCAATATTTTTAAAAAAGTACCTACCTTAAATATAAATTTTTAATTTTTATCACTATGATTAATTGATATTAAATTTAATTATAAAATTGTTGGCCTTTTACGTTATTGATTTCGATTACTATATCATCAGTATTTTTTTTGAAAACATCAAAGTGTATCATCAAACAGAATACCTAATTAACGGCTATTAAAACTGATATGAGCGAGTGTACTAATATTATATAACGTAATACTAGAAACTACAATCATATTATTTAATATTAATATCATAATATTTTAGTGAGATGTTTATTTTATATGAGTATAACGTTAGATAATTTTCTATTAGTCTACAATTATATTCTTATAAAATTTAAATTTTCAAGTAATAGAGGACAGAAATTACTAATTTATAAAAAATAGTGAGTGTTTGTCAAAATCAAAAAAATTATGTCTGCAAAATCTTTACCAATTTTTACATTTTTTTTAATATTTCTTCACTTTTAATAACCTGAGAAAGTCTTTTCAGATGGCATCAAACAAAATACTGTTAAAATATTCATTACTAGAATCACTGTAAATCTTAAATCAATAAAAAATTTAATTTTGATATGATAATTTACTGGTATTTTGTACTCATACATCGATATGTCTAAAATATAAATTAATTTATTATACGTATATATATAACGCAAATATCATAATGTTTACTTAATATCAATATGTTCTATAATTTTAATTTAACCTGATGGAGGCTTGTAATTATCATCAAGTGGCCAATTAGTCAAGTGGTATTTAGCAGGTGTTAACGTCGAGCAAGATAATATTAATTGAAGCTATTAAAACTATAAGCAAAATATCTCTTGTATTTTGCTGTTAATATATGTGGAATGTAATAATAATAATGATAACTAATGAATCTGGAGGATCTGATAAAACTTATAACAATGAATATTTAATATCAATAGCATATAACTTAGTATGATAATATGTATAATAATTTTTGACGAAAAACATATCTTTTTTTTTTAGAAATGTTTTAATTATTTTTTTGTATTTTATAAATGTAACTGTGTAACTTCTATAAAAGTGTTTAAATTTTGAATTAATATTTATGCGGGATATTTTGTGGATATTTACGTGTCACCAAAATAAATACCATGCAAATGAAAATTAAATTTTTTCATTAGTTTTTGTACCATTTCAATCCCGTAATTTACAAATAAATATACATTTTCACATAATATATCTAAAGCGATAAAAGTGTTAGAAGATTTTTAAAACTCATTAAAAGATACCAAACAAAAAGAAAAGTAACATAAAGTATCATGTTTGTTCACTCAATTATATTTATAATCGTATGAATAATGTATGAATCGATCTTTGCGATTATAAAGTTGTGTTATACTCGGTTTGAATGAAATTATATAACGTTTCATATTTGAACGTCTTTGAAATTATCATCACGATGTTTTCATATAAATATTTTGATATTTTCTTCGGTTTCCTACTTAACACTCTTTGAGAGCATTTTGTAACTATTCCATAATTTTTTAACAGAAAAATAAATCCAAGGTCTCCGTTACAAGACCATCAAATATAATCGTATAAAACCTCGCACGTTCGCTTGCGAGTCTTGAAATCTCGAGCGCAAAATACGTAATCTACGTGGGCCTTCTACACGGCGGTGTCGAACTTTTGCCTATTGTACGCGCCGCGTCAGGCAAGTGATATCGCTACGAACGAAAATACGCGCCGAAAACGTCGAGCGTTCGGTTTTCGAACATCACGTTCCTCACATTTGCACGCGATCAGCAACGGTGTCTGATCATACCACCTGACGGGTAAAAACGGTTACCAGTGGTTGAACTCGAAATCGTCTATTTCGTTTACTTGGTCTCGTTTCTTCTTCTTCGTTAAGAATCAACTCAATATTCATCGAATTACGCTTTGAAAATGCCATCACAATAGGATTCGATGAAATCGAAAACAGCACTTGGTAGCAACAAGCAAACTGATTTATCTGATTGCTTTTGACCGTGATTTGATCGCGACCGGATTGAACCGAGACCGCTAGTGTAAATTGACCTTTAGCGAATCGTTCGTACGGTCACCGAAACGCCAAACGGTAACCGCGATGACGGCGACCGTAAGCTGCGGGTCAAAAATAACGTTTCCTCCATTATTCCCGGAGGTGGGCACCGGTTGATGGTTGTGCTTGTCCGACCGCAGAAATCGAAACACCGCGCGACCGTTTCGACTACGAACTGAGCACCAACGTGATTGCTGGCTGACCGCGTCGTCATCGCTATTCCATTACGAATTGTTACCCGCCGTACACGTAACGGAGGGCACAACGAAAGGGTTATGTTGGAATCATCATATTCAACCTTTTTTTTTTCATTTGAGCCACATAAAATATTTTAAAATATTTCACGGGCCGCGAGTCGAAATGAACGAAATGGAAATAAAAAAAAAATTAAGAAAATAAAAATAAATGTACATATCGTATATATTATATAACGTTTGAAAATGTACTTACAAGAAAATTAAATTAAATATTTATTTCAAATCAGTCTGAATATTTATATTGAGATCATTTTTTCACTATTTTGGTTATATCTGGTTTGTAGTTGCTGCATCCTACTCTTAACAAGTTTTCAGTAAGCCGGTTTATGTACATATTATTTGCATATTTCATTTTTGAATTTGCTACACACTTTGATTATTTTTTATACCTATTTTATGTTTATAATATAAATTTTGAAATTTATATTTAATTATCAATTCAATGAATTCTGTTTGAGCCAGATATGTTATAAATCGTTGGAGGACCGCAGGTTGAATATCGCTGGGTTGGACCGTTTCAGCCGGTCACCACTGATTTACGGCAGTCCCGCGTCATTTCCGTCGGCACATTCGCGTCATCTTTCGACGGAACTTCTTCTAAGGCGTTCGGGTTCTAGTTTTTCCTAACCGTAAATAAATTATCGAAAAAAGAAAAAAATCATATCGTACCAGGCAATGTGGTCTACGGGAGTATAAGTATAATTAGGATTTGGAACTTGTTGCATTTTTATATTCTTTAATAATGACCGTGAAGCATATTTAATATTTTTTATGATCTATCTGAAGTACATTCATTCTATAGGTTAACCACTTTTTCTTTTACATTTTTTATCATATTAAACCTTTTTTCATCGTTATAGAAGAAGACAAAGAAAATAAATTTGATCATACAGAGTAATATTATAGTTTTAGATTTATAGATTTATTGCTATCAAATGTCAAAAAATAACTTAAATAAAAAAAATCTATTTATTTAAAATTCAATAAGCCAAATAAAAAATGTAATTGCTATAGTAAAAATAATATGTTGCAAATTTTACACATATTTCGGTTATTTTAAGAGCATATATGCATGCATTTCTACAATTTATGTGCAATAAGTCCCGAACCCTAGTTAAAATATTATAAAACGTGCACGTCATAGTATTTCTTACAAATCTATTTCTCATACGTCGATGATGGTTTCGCCTCGTTCCCGTTGTCATTCAGTTTTTTATTCCTCGAAGGGAATTTCATCATTATTATTTTTTTCTCTCGTCAAACTGTCTTTTATGGTTTTTAATTTTGTCATATTTTATTGGGTCGTTTTTATTTTTTTAAATTGTGTTTTTTTACGACTATGCGCGATTTTTCTTTCTTTTTTATGCGTAATGTAATCGGTTTAGACATTATTATTTCTAGTTCGATACTAAAAACTTTTTGATTTCGTACCGAATTCTCCAACCTATCTGTAAATGGATGTTTGTGCCAATATCGCAATAAAGATAAAATGTTTACACACACATGGGTGTATTATAAATTATGTTTATATAATGCTGTATATTTTCCCAGATAGCTTTCATATATGTGTTTATTCAAATACGTTATATGGTTTTAATTAAAGAGATTCGTGTATACGCATGATGTACAATAATATTATGTAATATCGTATACTTACTCTGTAGCGTTTGCAAATTTGTTATTGAATTAGAAAAGTAGTTTTTCATTTGATATCTAAAAATAAACAAATAATGAAAATGTTCACTTAATAATAATATTATAAACGAACCTTTTAACAAATATGTTTTCGTACTGACTATAGTTTTAAAATACCTATGTACCAAACCTATTTATAAGTTTAAACATACAGTACATGAGAAATATTATTAAAAAAAAAATCCTTTAAGTTCAACATAAATTTATAAGAGGATGAGCATTTTCTTTTATCCAATACTATTTTATTATTACATATATATAAGCTCTCAATTCTATTAATTTATTACTTTAACGCTATGATCAAGATATTTATATATAGGCATACAAGCTTACGAAGCGTTGAAAGTCGGACATTTTTATAAAAACCATTTTCGCTATGTATTCGTATGAATGTACATAAAATCGAGGTATCACTATGAAACACTCCCGGAAGATTTTTAGCTTAAGGGTTATTTTATTTTCATAATATTTCCTTCAGATTCTCATCAGAGAAATAATCACAATTTATATGCCTGGTTTGGTGACTGAATCTATGTTAAATTATACACATGCCTACATAATATTTATTACCAGTGAATTATCAAAATTAATAAGTTTACGTGTAGTTTATATTTTTAACAATAACAATATTATGATAGTAAATAAACTTTGTAATATATATAATAGATATATAATACAACTGTGAAAACAGAGTCTTATGAAACTCATTATTAAATTGTGTTAGAGATATAATATTAAATGTGGTTAATTAAAACTGGAGTGGAATAAGATATTTTTTTAAATTCTTTAAACAGTTGTTATGACATTGTAATGTAATAGTATAATGAAAAAAAAAACTGTTGCTTAGTTTTTATTTGAAATTTGATTTTTTTAATCAAGAAATAAGAAACGACACTCTTAGAATATTTTTATTTTTAATTTTACGATCAAAATAATAAAGGTTTTTAACAGAAATGCGTACCTTTTTATTTATGACGTAGAACATCAATGCCCTTATTTGTTTGATTACTTTGAAGATTTTTTTTATTTTAATTTTAAATTTTGTATTATTTATATGAAGTACAAAAATAATAAAACATTGTTCAGCTATTTATAACACTCCAGAGAAAGAGCACGGTTTAATTTAAAGTTGATGTATTTTTTAACTATACGATTGCTAATAATACACTACGAAGACATTTTTACTGTTAAGAAAGTTAAATAAAACCTTAAGTTGTTTAGTTAATACGCCAGTCATTTATTCAAAAATTAAACACTTGAATTATTTTCTGTGAGTTAAAATGATTAATTTCCATATAACTTGTTACTTGGATTTTTTCTTTAGCCCTTGATCCAGCGCAACCTAATTTCAAAGCCAGTCAGAAAAATGAAAGAGTAGATATCAAGAGCGGTCAGTTTGTAGTGGTTTTACACACATCAACGTCATTTTTGGGATTGAGAGAGCCTGTGGGCCATGTCGATTTTTACTTCAATGGGGGTCAAATACAGCCGTCTTGCAGTCTTGATACAGGTAAAACAATTACGCCAAAAACTCGATTATTACGAGAATAACCATTTTGGCGTTTGATTAATTCCTTAAAGTACATTATGTTTTCGTAATAACTTATATGCAGATATAACGCTTTACAATGTAATTAAAATGTGTATAATGGTTATAAATTATATTCTACCTCTTCAACAAACCGTTAAAGTTAATATAAAATAGCTTTCTTGAACTTCATTAACCACCATTAGGTTCTTGATTTATGGGTCGTTCGACATTTGTCATAAAATGACACTTTCAACCCTGAGCATACCGAAAAATATCACTTTAAATTAATGAACTTATCAAAAGTTTTATTTTCCAGTTACATAAAGTATAGACACAATGTATTTTTTGAAACTACAATTGAAATAAGAGATTTGTTATTTTACATACAATAACTATATTTATGAAATCATCATGGCAATGTATATTCTTATTTATCAATAAGTTAAAGAAACTAAAAATTGTCTACAATTGTCTACATATTAGAAACTTATGACTTTGCATTAAAATTTTTTTAGTTTGCAATAGTATTAGATGGATTAAAATCTAATTAAATTTTACTGGAAAATTAAACTTTCTTTTTGATAATTAATTAACGTCTAATTGAATTATGTGAATTCCTTTAAAATAAAGCAAAAAAATACTTTTTATTATTTTGTTTCAAAATATTTAAATACAGCTGTTGATATATTTTTAGGTTATTATACAATATTGTGCACTACGTCAATAACTAACTTTCAATAACCACCCAAACTGTAACTGTAATATTAGATATTTGTGCTGTTTGTGAGCTATATGTATTCGTTTTTATGTTGTCATCTAAAACGATAATGTTTCATTACATAATTATAGCTCATCGAATGAACCATAAGAAATTCATAAAAAATATATATGTCATTGACGATATCGGTCAATATTCTAGAAATTAGCGAAAGGTGTACGCCTATATTATAAGCGACTAAAATGTATCTACCAAATTGTAAATTATATAGGAGCGTTATGAAGTCGAGTACTGGGGCATTAACTTGAGGTGACACGGACTTAAGTAAAATTATATACTATTTACTATTTACAATTTACTTTCATAGAAATAAGTGTATGATCAAAATGATGTTCCTCTTTACTCTTGGGCTAATATTTTTTCACAAAATGGATCAAAAGGTCCTATAGAATTCTATTATGTACAAAGTACTTTTTTTTTTTTTTACAATATCTTCAAAAAGGAATTAAATGTTTAATAGTGGACAACGTATATCTGTTTATTTTATACACATGGTATACATTTTCAGTACATCGCGAATCACTTTGGTTTTCGACTTTCATTATGAATATTAGTTTATGTTTAGGAAAAAAAAAATTTTAACTAAAATTTTGTTGTATCTCCTTTACGATACTTTGAATTTGACCCGCCTCCATCCTTAAGCATTATATAATGATTTAAAAAATGTTCTTTGGACTCATATTTATTTAACTTGAAAAATAATTTAAAGCTGTTTTGAAATAACGTGAAAGCAGTGTTGGGAATAGATAATGCAAAATTTATCTAGATAAAGATAAAAGATAATTTCATTTTTATCTAGATAAAAAAAAAGATATTTTCAAAAAATGTTATTTTTTGGTCGATATTTTATATTCTAATAATATCTATGAAGACTCAATTATAATCATTATTATCAATAGTTACTTATATAGTTATAGGTGTTTAATGTTTATTATAGTAATGTAGTGTACCATTAAATAGTTTTTATATATAATGTACAATATTTAATGATAGTTAATCACTAAAATACAAAAATACACAAAAAAAAAAAAAAAAAAATGAAAATTACTTTATACGTATCAGGATGAGTACAGAATACATAAAAAATTATTTTAAGTTAACAATATTGTTTTCCATATAAT